TCCCCCCCCCCCAAAAAAAAAAAAACACTTCGCAGAATTCCTCGTAGAGCATAACTAACATAACCGCGATGTTTTCCTAGGGTTTGGCCTGAAACTCACCTGTAATTTCAAAATTTGTTGGTGGGTAACACTGGATCGCTTGAAATTGGGTTGAAGAGAAGGTGTTGATGCTAAAATAGATTCCTTTCTATCCTCTTCGGCTTCTTCATCGACACTTCCGTAATCTGACGCTCCAATGGTTTCTCCATCACCGGGCATGGCCGATTCCTCGAGATCTGGTTTGAGATCGTAGAAGAAAGAATGAAGAAAACGGCGTCGTGTTATTCTCTCTATTTCTCTTTTAAGAAATAACAACTTGCACCCCGAAATTTGCAAGATATGTAGATGACAACCCCAAATTAGTGCGTCAATGCATAAGTAGTCCGTATTTCTAGGGAATATCAAATCACACCCCAATATTTCTACTTAACACCTATTAAAAAAAATAATTTAACTAATAGTGTTACTAATACACTTTTTACACTTAAAACTGTTAATAATACCTTTTTACTTATAAAAAAATATCCACTCAATCGAAGATAGTAAAAAAACTATTTAATTTAATTTCTTATTTGTATACAACATTTCACTATTAAAAGTGAATAATTCTGAATTTCATTGAATTTTTTTGTTATATTTTAGTTAGAAAGAATTTTTTATTTTAATTTTAATCCAAGTAAATTATTTTTAGGTTTTCAAATGATACATTTAAAAAATCAATTAAAAATTACTCTAAATAGAACTTCACCTTTTAAAAAAATTCTTTAACTTTTAAAAAGCATTCATTTAAAACCTAATTATCTACAAATCCAAATCAACTATAAATGAAGATTTTTTAATTATAATTTAATATAAATGATAGTCTTAAATATTTTTTTACAAAATTTATGGTTAAATTAAATTTGTTATGATTGGGAATTTAAATGAAGATTTTTTTTGGATAATTGTTAAAAGCTAAAGATCTATGTAATGTATAGAGTATAGTAGGGGTTTTAAATGGTTCATTGAGAAGCTAAGAATTCTTTTTTGGGGTTTTTTTTCATTAAATTAGTATTTTCAAGATTAGGGGAAAAAATCTGCTTTTTAAAAATTGAAATAAAAAAACACCACCAGCAGCACCACCATCACCATTGCATTGCCCGGCTCTTTTGATGGACTTGCTAAAGAAATACAACAACTAGAGACAATAATATTCTCTGACACTCACACACATTACAGTTGGCTGGCAAAAACAACCGGCGCTTCCTCTCTGGTTTCCCCTTCACGTGCTCGGTGAATCCCGCCGGAGAAAAACGGCTGCGGCGGAGCAGAGTCATCTAATGATGCAGTTCGTGGACGAGACCTCTTTCTATAACCGGATCGTTCTGGGTCACCTTCTGCCGGCGAATCTGTGGGACCCATTACCGCATTTCCTCCAGACATGGCTCCGGAACTACCTCGCCGGAACCCTACTCTACCTCATCTCCGGTTTAATCTGGTGCTTCTACATCTACTACCTTAAGCACAATGTTTACGTCCCCAAAGGTAACGCCTTTGTGATTCCTTTGATGGTTTTGTCTTGTGGCTTCTCGTCGATTTTCGATTCCAGGATTTGGGTGTTTCTGTTTGATTCATGAAATCGGCTTAGTGGAATGCAATTTTTTATGTTGACCCGGGATCGGTTTTGAGCTTTCTGATTCAGGGTCGAAAGGGTAAAATCTGGTGATATCTTCTTAGCAGACTGTTGATTTCCGAGTGATTAATCTCCTGTTCTTATGTCAATCATTGTTCTCAATCATGAAAACGAGCCCCCTTGCTGATTTTTGTGAGGTTTGACTTTCGATCTCTCGATGGGATTTGAAATCTGTGGATTTAGTACCAGGAAACTGAATATTGCTCGACCATAGTTCTGAGCAATTTCCCAACTTTCTCTGCATGATTAATTTCTTGGTTTGGTGTTCATTGTGTTAGTGTTAGAGATTATAGTTTTTCTTTTGATCGTCCTTACAATCTAGCTGCCTTGTCTAAGCACTATTTCTATGATTTCTCTCGATCTCTTTCTCCCATTCTCTTCAGATGCCATCCCTACAAGAAAGGCCATGCTTTTGCAGATATATGTGGCAATGAAGGCTATGCCATGGTACACTCTTCTTCCAACTGTCTCTGAGCATATGATTGAAAGAGGTTGGACGAGGTGCTTCTCGGAAATAGATGATTATGGATGGACCCTTTATTTAGTTTACCTCGCTTTCTACCTCGTTATTGTGGAGTTCGGCATATATTGGGTGCACCGGGAGCTGCATGATATTAAACCTTTATACAAGTATCTCCATGCAACCCATCATATCTACAACAAGCAGAATACTCTTTCTCCTTTTGCGGGTAATTCTCCTTCTACTTTCAGTCCACATCACTCCTTTTGCGTTTGGTGATGTTGCTCTCTTCAAGCTTTCATTCTGCACGAAAGTATGTAGAATAATCTCCTTTTGATAGCAAAACCGATCTTGTGATTTGAGCAGTAAGTTTTCTGGTAGATATGATGTTACTCGGTGAAATTCTGAACTTCTTAGATTAATGTCAAAGAAAAGATAGGTAGTATGTAAATTCTTGCAAGTGAGGATTCACGGGCGTGTTCTTATTTGGTTTTGAAGGGATGCTTTCTGCAAGTACATCGACATAGCTTCTTGTACATCTTTATCTTACCCGAAACTTACCATCGCACCTTTCTTCTCGGTATTGAATAATGCACGGTGAAACATTCTCATTGTTTGGTTTTTCAGGACTTGCCTTTCACCCATTGGACGGGATACTTCAGGCAGTTCCACATGTGATAGCGCTGTTTATCGTCCCGATCCATTTCACAACCCATCTGGCTCTCTTGTTCATGGAGGCCGTATGGACGGCCAACATCCACGACTGCATCCATGGCAACATCTGGCCTGTAATGGGAGCTGGATACCACACCATACACCACACAACTTACAAGCATAACTACGGCCATTACACCATTTGGATGGATTGGATGTTTGGTTCCCTTAGGGATCCCATTGAAGAAGAAGACAGCAGCTCCAGCTCCAAGAAAGCAAAGTGAGATAGACGCCTGCCCTCTTTGGGGGGGTTTTGTGTTTTGCTTGGCGTTGGCGTTGCGTTTCTGAGATCTTTTTCTTCTTGTTCTTCTGTTTCTATATATCTTCCCAACATTGCGGTTGAAACATTTCTTCACATTTTGTCTAGTTTATTTCTGTTCTTCTCTATAAAGGAACGATCTTTTGCCATCTTTTATATCCTGCAATGGTGGTGGGCATTAGAGAATTACACCAAAGACAAAACTGTGATCAGATGTGAGTAGAGAGGATCAAACCCATGAAGCGATATCAGACACTTTGATCTTCCATATCTGTGAGTATAACATGTAACGTGAAAAATGAGAAGCACACTGCCAGGCACGGATTTTCTCAGAGTCCTTCGAACGTTACAGTTGGTCATCCCAGAAAACCGGCGCGTCATCTCCGGCTTCCTCCTAAAGGAAGTTTCTGTACTTTCTTTGTCACGTTTTCTGTCATAGAGTTTGATTAAAGATTGGATTTCCTATGTACTAAACCTTGCCGTGTCTATAAACACAGACAATGAACAGAACCCGATTGAGGAATCGTGATCTGACGATGCAGTTCGTGGACGAGACCTCTTTCTACAACCGGATCGTTCTGGGCCACCTTCTCCCGGCGAATCTGTGGGACCCATTACCTCATTTTATCCAGACATGGCTCCGGAACTACCTAGCCGGAACCCTACTCTACTTCACCTCAGGTTTCCTCTGGTGCTTCTATATCTACTACCTTAAGCACAACGTCTACATCCCAAAAGGTGACGCCTTTGTGATTTCTTCAATGGTTTTCTCTGATGGGTTCTTGCCATTTCTGCTTTCTGTTCAGTTCTTGATCTATTTATGTATAATCTAAATCTGCTATGTCCGGGTGCTGTAAATTTGTTGCTTGACCAATATTATACTCCATCATTCACTTAGATTGTTTTCTAAGGCCAACGACGAGAAAGTTTAGAGATTTAAAGCTGAAAACTTTGTGTAAGCTGGTTGATTCAGAGCTTTCTTGCTTGTGTTCTTGTGACTGTGTCTTCACTAACTGGAAGATAGACTCTTAGTTGCATCATCTAAGCTTCATTTCTATGAACTCTGTCACTATCTGCAGATGCCATTCCCACAAGAAAGGCCATGGTTTTGCAGATCTATGCTTCAACCAAGGCTATGCCATGGTACTCGCTTCTTCCGACCGTCTCTGAGTATATGATCGAAAAGGGTTGGACCAGATGCTTCTCTAGAGCCGATGAGCATGGATGGGCCATGTATTCATTATACATCTCTATCTATTTTGTTCTTGTGGAGTTTGGCGTATATTGGATGCACCGGGAACTGCATGACATTAAACCTCTGTATAAGTGTCTTCATTCGACCCACCATTTGTACAACAAGCAGAATTCTATCTCTCCTTTTGCAGGTAAGTCCCCTCCCTCCCTCTCTTGCTCTCCTCTCCAAGTCTTTCAATCACTATACTTGATGTTATACAGAATGGAAACCGCTATGTAGGATGGTAAAGCAACCTCTTTCTCGTCCATAGTAACTCCTGTTTGGCGATCTGATCTGAATTTTCATATGTATATCATCGAAATATCGGTAGTATTTATATTCTTGCTGCCGAAGGCTCATGGGCACGTCTTATAATCGACTTTAAAGAGTGATTCCGTGAGTTCATATGCTGAAAACTTGTCATGTGTCTGCTAGAATGTGAAATATCTGTGGTGTGTCTTCTCAGATATGTTCTAACTAAGAAAAAGATGGAAACCTCGACTACCCGTTATACAATCTCGTGTTCGGGTTTTCAGGTTTCGCTCTTCACCCATTGGACGGGATACTTCAGGCAGTTCCACACGTGGTAGCCCTGTTCATCGTCCCGACCCATTTCACAAGCCATCTGGTTCTGTTTTTTATGGATGGGATGTGGACAACCAACATCCATGACTGCATCCATGGGGATGTATGGCCAATAATGGGAGCCGGATACCATACCATACACCACACGACTTACAGGCACAACTATGGCCATTACACCATTTGGATGGATTGGATGTTTGGTTCACTTAGGGATCCTATTGAAGAAGAAGAAGAAGGCGACGATGGCTCCAAGAAAAGAAAGTGATACGGATTGCCTCTTCTGCCCACTTTCGTTTTATTTCCGGTTATTGTTGTGATTTGTCATCTTCCGACATTTGGGCTGAAAACCAAAGTTCCAGACTTTCTATAGTTTCCCTGATTCAATGAACTATTCAAAAGTTGTGTCAGAACGCCGTAATAATCCACCGTTGTCACGGATGCGTTTGTCGTTATCCGTTATAAGTTGCGATTGGAATTTTCAACTGTCTGATGGAATTTTTTTTTTCGAAATCCGTTGTTACAAATTTGATCGCTATTCACATGTTTTTCTTAAAGTGTTTTTAACCTTTTTCGTCCGAAAAGGTAATAAAAGAAAGAAAAAAAAAAGTGAATACTGAAGAACGCAATACGGTGTAAAAAGGGATGAATAAGAAATCCTTTGATGATTTGAGAGCCATTTATTCTCTGTTTTTTTTATCCTCTCCGTTCTATATGAAAATACAACTCAAATCATCCCGAAACAATTTTCCAAATAAAATAAAATAAAATTTTAGTTTTAAGAAACATACTTTTATTCTAACAAAAAAGTTATTATTTAAAAAATATGTATAATTGAAAAGGTAATTAAATTCAATTTTAAAATTACTATAATATAAAAAGAATGATCATAATTTAACCAACAAATTATTTAAAATATCTCCATAACTTTTTAAATTAGAAAGATGTATAAAAAATATATCATATGATTTAAATATATAAAAAGCCAAAACTTTTATGATCCCACATACATCGGATTTCTTAAAAAAATAGTTGTCATATTATTCAATCATTTCATAACTCTTTCCAAAAAAAAATTTAGAATTTTTTTGACATTTTCATTATGTCTACATTAAATTCGCATATTTTTTAAATTATACTATTATTAATATCATTAGTTTTTGTTATTTAGACTTTTTTAAACATATTAACATATATCTTTTTTTTTATGTTACATGTGTAAACATTTCGAAAAAATTTGTAATGAACTTGAAAAAACAATGTAAAAACCATTCAACAATCTATATTTTTCAAGCGTCATTGTATTACTATTTAAATAAATAAATAAAAATTAAATTATCAGTAAATAATAAAATTAAAAATAATTTAAATATAAACCATTAGAAAAAATATAGATTTATACAAGTATAAAATATTAAAGAATAAATAAATCATAATATTTATTTTAATATAAATGATTCCATAGGATTTAAATTTTTAGATTAAAATATTTTTATTTAAATATTTATATTTATTCCATCTATATTATTTTTATTCTTTTCGTTCTATTAGAAATTCACGTTTTTATAATATATTTTAATTTTTGTTATTTTTATATTCTAATTAATTTTATTTATATTTTGATAAAATTTTATTTTAAATTGTACGCCTTGTGTACAATTAATGTACGACTAGTGTATCCGAGAAACTCTTTCAATCCATTTAGATTGTTTTAGATATTTATTTATTCCATATTCAAATAGATACGATATCAGATAGATCATATATTAATAAATAACGAGTGAAATAGTTAGATTTTGTCTGAATAGGATCAGAAACTTGTCCATGAAAAACCAAAGAATGGAGATCGAGATGCATATGAGGAGGACTGTGACCACCGACAGTAAGTGTAGGATCTGAGCTTGTGACACTGCTCTGCTCCGAATGCCTGGTTGCACAATGTTTCCAGTGCACCTGCCATCCCGAGCGTCAATAAGAATCCCAACCAAAGTAAAGAAAAGATAAAACTTTTTCACATTTAGAATTGAAAAACAAAACAGATTTTTTTAAAAGCATGAATGGATCAGTGTTTCAAGGGTGACAGAGAGGAACGAGATGACATCATCGAGGAGCGCTGGTGAACGTAGGAACAAACCCACATGTAGTTTAGTCGGGTCTCAGTATCATATTTTTTTTAAATGTTTTTAAATTATTTATGAATACCATTCGTGTGTGTAAACATTTTGAAAAAATTGTAATGAACTTGAAAAAATAATGTAAAAACCATTCATCAATTAGAATAGTATATTTTTTAGACGTCATTTTATTATATTATTTAAATAAAATAAATAAATAAAATTTAAATTATCCATGAATTACAAAATTAAATATAAATCATTTAAATATAAACCATGAGAAAAAATGTAGATTTATACAAGTATACAATATTAAAGAATGATTAAATAATAATATTTATTTTAATATAAATGATTCCATAGGATTTAAAATTTTTAGATTAAAATATTTTTAAAAAATATATATATTTATTCCATCTATATTATTTTTATTGTTTTCGTTCTATTAGAAATTCACATTTTTTATAGAATATTTATAATTTTTGTTATTTTTATATTCAAATCAATTTTTATTTATATTTTGATAAAAATTTTAAATTGTACAATTTGTGTACAATTAATGTACGACTAGTGTATTCGAAAAATTATTTCAATCCATTTAGATTATTTTAGATGTTTATTCATTTCATATCCAAATAGAGATGATACGAGATAAATTATATATTAATAAACAACGAATAGGATCCGAAAAACTCTTTCAATCTATTGAGATTCATTATATTTCCAAACAGAGATGTGATCTGATAGATTATGTATTGGAAAACAACGAATGAGATAGTTGGGTCTTGTCTGAATATAAATCATTACGGAAACAAAAACCATTACCACATCATCAAAGCTCTTTACCTTATTTTTTTTCTTCGCCCCCAAACCGAAATCATAATGAAAAAAAAATTCATTATCATATATCATTAAGTGTTTTCTATGATTCTTCTCAATGATAACCGTCAGAAGGGGAAGGAGGAGAAATGTTTTACCACATCATCAAAGCCGAAGGAAGAGCGAAGTGGCAGAACTCCTTGATCTTGGACAACACATCCGACATAATAAAAGCCCTCGACTTCTCGCAAGTCGAAGACCAGTCTTTGTAGATCCATAGCAAAATTGCATTAACTCGATAAGCCACTCCCAGTGAAACTGCAGCTTCCACCACTCCGACTCCCACCTTATGAACCAGTACCCAACATAAACCAACGTGGAACAAAGGAGCGGTCAAAGTCAACCACATCATCGGAGAGATCAAGCTCTATGATTGGAAATACCGAATGAAAGATTCGAGAAAATTGAATCCGAACAGGATCAGGATCAGATAGATCATGTATTGGTAAGCAACGACAACACGATCAGAAGCCTGTCTATGAAGAGCCAAGGAATGGAGATTGAGATGCATATATATGAGGAGGAGTGTCACCATCGAGCAGTAAGTGTAGGATCCGAGCTTTTGGTACTGCTCTGTTCAAAATGCTTTACCACACAACGTTTTCAAAGCACCTGCTATCCCGAACTTCAACAACGAACCCCCAAAATTTGTCTATTATTTGATAAAAAAAAACTAATAGACAAATTTATCAAAAGAAACTTTGTATTGATATCTCAAGGTAAAACAATGTATCAAGTTATCATATTACTTCTTCTGAATAAATTGATCTGAATGATTTATCTTCAAATTCTACCGATAGAAAAATAATATTAAAGTTCATCCTAATCAATATTTGATTAAGAAACTTTATCAACTGCGACCGTCATTTTTAAAAAAGATGATACAAAATAAATTGAAACGATTTAATCTAGACTGGTTTGATTAATACGATGATTGATTTTGAGGTTACCACCACGACTATTGAGATATGCTTTTCACCGATAAATTTTGTGGAAATAGTTTTGTGTAATCGGATTGGTGATCAATTTTTAAATGATAGTCTAATTCATTTAATCGAAAAAAGATATATTTTAAATGCTTATAAAATAGTTATAGAAAGATTTTTTATTTAGAATTTTAATTATAGAATATAATTTGACGATATATTTTTATTTATTAATTTTATCATATATATATAAAAAAATTTATTTTATATATATATACATATTATAACTAGTGTCCACTCACAAATTTCTCCGGATCTACCACTGTTGGTGATGAAATGGGGAGGAAAGGGGCTGTGGCCCTTCGAGCTCTTCTTCTCGGTCTCATCACATCTCGCACCAATTGGTACAAATAGGTAACCACACTTTCCTGTTTCATCTCTGCGTATAGTTTCTGTCGAAAACGCATTAACATTCTGTGGTTTCTTTCCGCAGCCGAGGGATGGGAGAGGTTGCTAGAAGGCGCCGACGAGACATGTGTCCGATATTTGATGATAGTTTGGAGATTTCGGTTATCTTGGTACTTGCGTGCGCAGAAACAACGACTTGCAAAGGAGACATGCTGCAGGTTCTCTTGCATCGTTTTCTGATCAGTTCCGAAACGGAATCATGTCCCCGAGGCCCTGGCTCAGAACGTGGTCAAGGTTTTCGGCTTTCATTACGTGCCGGGAAGGAGAGATGATGGGTCTAATGATTTGTAAGCCAAAGGGTCTTGAGAATCTCTTCTCTATATTCAAATTAATTTTTTTTTTTATGAAAAGAAAGAACTTATTAATAACCCAACTGAATAATGGATTGATGTAATTGAAGTGAATTCGGTATGAAAAAAAAGTTTTAATTTCTCTAAAATCGAAGAAATCCAAAACGAAACAGATTAAAAAACAATTGACACAGCTGAATTCTTTTTTGAAAAAATGGATATTTTATCAATAAATCTAAACCGAAATAGATTTGAACCGAATCAAATTATATATAAAATAAATCAAATGATTATAGTTTTTTTTAAAGTCGAATTATTCTAATCTAAACATAATCGAAACGCGAAATGTTCGTTCCTAGAAAGGAATCGGATCCTTATTGAGTTGTCACGAAATAAAATATTAATAAAAAAGAAAGATCTTTCTAAGAGAATTGCGATTTGATTTTCCGTAAAATGAAACAAAAAGAAGAGACACACTTTCGCATGAAGCATATGTTGTTGTCTCCTCGCTTTCATTTTCATAATTTTGCCTTTCCACGCGCCTTTCCTGCTATACCCCCAAAAAAGAGCCGTTATTAAATATTTTAAAATTTTAAATATATAATTTAATAAGATAAATAAGAAATACAAAAATAATTTTTAATTTTATGTACCGGAATCCTCTGATTGAACCGGTTCTCCCGGTCACCACCTCGACGCCGGAGCTCGCCGGCGCTCCGAACATCTCTCTCCTCTCTTCTTCGTCTCCGCATCTCTTCTCTCTGTCTTCGAATGGAGGCGACGCCGATGTCACCATTAGTTCCTTTAACTTACGCCTCCTGCGATTGATCTCTCTCTTGCTCTTCTCGGATTTCCGATCCGATTCCGGCGATTCGTCGAGGATTTTCCGGAGATCACGCCCGCGGTCGTCGGAGGTACGATCGAACAACATCCTTAAGGTTTTGCGTCGCCGGAGATGGAAGACAGGACTCTTCGTCGGACTGAGTACGGGACTCCCGGCGACGGAGGCCGCCGCTTCCAAGCCGCAGTGAGCGGCGGCGAACAGCTTGAATTTGTGGAGACCCGCCATAGTTGAAGCCGCCGTCTGATCTTCTTCTTCCTCTTCTTATGAATCGCCCGTGCTGTGTTACATTTCAAGTTGCTAGAGAAGATTGTGTGGGAGAAGAAAGAGAGAAAGCTCCAAGGGGCCTTTTAAAGGGCTTTTTTTTTTTTAATTGTGGGTCAAATGTGGGCCTCTCGGATTTATAGTTACTGTTTTGAAAACATTATAATAAAAAAAATAAATAAATAGAATTGGACTACAACTATATACAGCTACAACAACAGTCATTCTAACATAAGATAGAAATTCAGATGAGAAATAGACATCTATATATGTATACATATAATGTGCATTGATTGCCCATAAATTATTTGGTCCCTATAACGTTTATTTTCATCAAAGATCTTATCTTTTTTTTTAACACATTATATTTTCACCAACAGACATTTTTTTTCTTCGCCGCCTCCGTCACGGCGGAGGAGACGGTGGTCGTG